AAAAAAAAAAAAAAAAAGGATTTTTTGCAGTGGGTTAAGGGCTGTTTTGGGGTGCCCTGGTTGCAGACGGTGTCAAATGGGTGCGGTCAGGGCAAGGATGCTAAAGAAAGGCTCAGCTCTGCGGGGCTGTCAGTCTGGCATCTTCCAGCAGCCGGAGGAAATAGAGGAAAATAAAATAGAAATGCAATCGCCTGCCCTCCTGACCCTGGCTGCTCCATGCTCCCGCAATAGTTTTGCAGCAAATCGAGGAGAAACAGGGAGGAAACGGCCAGACGGAGCCGCCCGTGCTCTGATTTTCCCTCTGCTACGAGGACAAATCCTGCATCCAGCTATGGGGGAGATGGGGAAGAAGCAGGCTGTCGGCCAAGGCTGAGCTGTAAAACCGCAGGTTGGGCTTTGCACATCCTCTGATTAATCTGTTGGACCTGTTCCCGTGAGAAATGAGTAATTTAGATGGTTTTAAAGCAGGCCTGAATGGAGGAACTCGGTCTGCAATAGGGAGACAACCACTGTGGGGCAGACGACGGTGGAGACAAAGTCAAAGCCAATATCTCGGTAGAAAGGATGGGCTTGAGTGGAAAGGTGGGAGAGGTGGGAGAGGTGGTCGGTGGGATCAGGGCTTTGTGTGCGGATCAAGGCGAGCCTCAAAATCTGGGCGTCCAGGGTTTATTTGGGCAAACGTGGGCAGTTTTGCAAAGCTGGGGAGAGAAGCAGCAAAACAGTCAGTCCTTGCATTTTGGTGCCATAAGCTGGTAAATAAGGTCAGGAAGGATTTTCCCCAGCTGGTGCTTTTCTTGGTGCGTTGGGAGCAGCCAAAATTCATCGCTGCAAGGGGGCAAGATGCCACGCTGACGGGCTTGCCCATGCGTTATCCCTACATGGGATGGGGCTGGTGTTTGCTCCCCATAGCAGAGCTATTAATACCATAAAACCATTTGAGAACAGTATTTTAACCGCCTGCCCCATCCTTCCCCGGCAGCTCACGTCTCTTTTTCTCCTTTTTTTAACTTTTCCAGCCTACCTGACGGTCAGCATCGAGCCGCTGCCGCCCGTGGTGGTGGGAGACGCTGTCACCCTGAAATGCAACTTCAAGACGGATGGGAAGATGCGGGAGATTGTCTGGTACCGGGTAAGTGGCGCCAGTGCCTCTTCCCTGCCCTTGGGGACGGGGACACGAAGCCACCCGGCTGCTTTGCTCCTGTACAACAGAAGGTCAAGGCTGGATGGCGGAGAGAAAAGCAGACGGCGCTCTCGCTGATAGGAATATCGATTCAGTGAAGCAGGCAGGCAGGCTAGCCTTTGAAAATCGGGGGGAGGGGAGGGGGGGGAGATGTAAAACAGTTTTGCAGTCACCCTGAGGGCTCCATGAGGCTTTCCCCAGGTGTTTTGTTATGTTTTCTGTGTGGATTTGGGGTTGGCAGGCTCGGTTCGGTGCTGGGGGCTTTGCGCCGAGGGTTGGTGCCCGTCGGGGTTTGGGAGCCGGGGGCTTGGGTTGGCACGGCTGTGCAAAGAGGATTTTCATGTTGGGTGTGAAATTATGCAAAAAAGAGGGTGGTTTTCATGCTGCGGGGGAAATTATGCAAAATTGAGGGTGTTTGGGGCTTGGGGAGCAGTGCTGGCCTCTTCATGGGGAGAGCTCAGCACTGAGCCTCCCCCAAAAACCTTTCCCCTTCCCATCCCTGTCCCCAAAATACCCAGGGATATGGGATGCTGATCTGGAGCAACGCAAGATTTATAGCGTCTGGTTTTATTTGGGGAGGGGGGTTTGGAGGCTGCAGCTTTCCCCCCCAACCAGCATCACTCCCATCTGCACCGAGCCTGGATCCAGCCTCAGATATAACGGACCAGAGCAGTAGTTTTGGCTTTCTCCTGGGAATTTCAGGATAAGCTGCCAAACACAAACAAAACTCCCACGGTGGTTTGATCAAAGAAAACTTCAAGTTTTCCAGGATGGCAAAAACTCAGCTCTTTGCTTGCACGTTTGCTCGCAGAGGAGGCGAAGAAAAAGCTAACTGGGCTGGTGGCGTCGGATGAAACGGCTGGCCTTTGCCGGAGGATATTTCTTCTTGGTTTTACCATCTTGTTTCTGCTCTCTGAACAAGGAGCATCTCTGCCTTAAAGCTCTTCTTCACATCCAGGCAGGTTTATAAATAGGAAAAGGTGCTGTCTGTACTGATATATATTCAGTTGCCGGAGCGTGGTGCATGCACAGGAGTGTTTCCATTGAGTCCTGGCTGTTTGCTATAAATATGTGTATTTAGGTGCGTAGGGGCTGCAAAGCAGAGAAATATCAAAATACAAACCAAAAAACTGTCCCAAACCCTAAATTGCAGCTTGCAGATGGCTCCGTCTCCCCCTTATTTTGGGGAGGAGGCTTTTTGCACGGTGCTCCTTCTGCCGGTGCTGCCGTCTCCACTGGGTTTTTCCTTCCCTTTTTCCACTCGGTAATATTGGATTAACCCACTTTCTCGTGAGCTGGGGCTGGATTTGCATAAACCCCCCCCGCGCGGAGGGATGCTGGAGCCCTCGGCGAGAGGATGACGCACTGGGGCAGCCGAGCAAATTACACTCCGAGAAACCACGGAGAGAGTGGGAGGGGAAAAAATAACCCAGCTTTTATTTTTATCACCACAAATCCCCTTTTCTTCCAGGTTTTTTACACACACCCCGTTCCCTTTTTCTCCTTTCCCAGTGAGCTTCCCGCATTTGGAAAGTTGGGGTTTTTATAGAGCATCTCAGGATTTCCCAAATTCCCTCCTGATTTTATGTTTTTTTCCCCTTTCCCCCCCCCCCCATCTTGTCTCACTTTCGGACTTTTGCAACTGCCCAAACCCCCAGTCGCAGCTCCCCTGTGCAGGAGGTGACGAATGGTCTCGAGCAAGCCGGGGTGGAGATGCTGGGGCCGCGGGGTTATATTTATACCATTTGTAAATCATCCTGACAGCATCTTTGTGCATGGCGTCGGAGCAGTGGAGCGGGGTGGTTGTTCGGACTCGCTGAGGCTCCCGTTTCCCTTGGTTTATTTTACAGGGAGCAGAGCGAGCTCGTTGAGTTTAAGGATGCAGAGCTGCGCCGGGGCGCAAGTTGAGTTGCGGTGGGGGCGGGGGGAAGCAAAAGAAGGGGAGTGCGGCAGCAAATTCAGCAGCAGTTTGGTGTAGGACATGGGGTGGGTGCATAACCCGCCAGGGTGCATACATAACCCACAGGGTGGGTGTGTAACCCATAGGGTGGGTGCCTAACCCTTCAGGAACATGCATAACCCATCAGGGTGCATACATAACCCATGGGGTGGGTGCATAACCCGTCGGGAGCATGCATAACCCATAGGGTGGGTGCATAACCCATCAGGGTGCATACATAACCCACAGGGTGGGTGCGTAACCCATAAGGTGGGTGCCTAACCCTTCAGGAGCATGCATAACCCATCAGGGTGCATGCATAACC